CATTTCAGAGTATCCTGGAAGCAGCAGCTGCAGCAGGCCAACTGGCACTAGGAAGATGCTGGATCTCAGATGCGTGGTTAGACGGGCAGAGGTCAGCAGCAACCAGCAGCAGGCGTGCAAAGTCAGAAAGAGCAGAGCCAGGCCAGCAGCAAGCAAGCAGGAGATGTACCAGAACAGCAGGCAGGAAGCGAGGTCAGGTTGTAGGCCAGAGTCAGCAATAAACAGGAAGAGCAATCCAAGTCAGGATACAGATGAGCATAGAAACAGGTCACAAGCAGGAGAAGACAACCACCCAATAATGAATGCGAGTCTTGTAAGCCTTTAAATAGGCCACCAGGCACAAAAATCCATCAAAACAAGCATGCTCACAAACACTGTATGCGCATGTGCTCGTACGTATACATGTGGGGTCCTATTGCTGTGCATGGTTCTATGGACTGTTCTGCACGCACATGCATTTCTTTAAGCACGGCCTTGAACATGACTTTCCTGACACCATGCTGGACAGAGCTGAGCAAGGCTCTGCTGATGGTAGACTCCAGCAGAAGGAAACATTTCAGTCCACCAGTTACACACCTAGCAGAGAGTGAGCTGGAACCAACACGTACAGCTGGATTGTCTAGGATTGGACATGTTGCACCCCACTGTGAAACCCAAAGTAGCTCAACCCATGAGAGTGGACTTCGTGACCGCCAAGTAGCAAAGAGTAGGGTCAGGCAGCCAAAGGTCCCTCACGTTAACCTTCAGTCTGTGTAAAGCCATCAAAAAGGAGAGATTTTAAACAGTGCCTAACAGTCCCCATAACTTGGTAGCTCCTGATGAGCCTGAATTCCATATTTACAAAGGGGCCTGCAGAGTCACACCTGGGGCTGTGCCACAGCTCTGGGCCTGGAGAGGGCTAACAAACTAGAACACCAAGGCCTGGAAAGTGTCACACTGCAGGGTTCAGTGCCTGGAGGCCTCATTCCAGGGTAGCCATGCAATCGTCCAGTTCAAGGAGGTTCGGTTAGCAGAGTCACACCTATTGCTGTGTCAAGGCTCTGGACCTGGAAAGGGCTAACCAACTAGGACACCAAGGTCTGGAAAGTGTCACACTGCAGGGTCCAGTGCCTGTAGGCCTCATTCCAGGGTAGCCATACAATCATCCAGTTCAAGGAGGTTCGGTTAGCAGAGTCACATCCTGGGACTGTGCCACCTGGGACTGTGCCACAGTGCCTGGAGGCCTCTGGATCTGGAAAGGGCTAACCAACTAGGACACCAAGGTCTGGAAAGTGTTGCACACTGCAGGGTCCAGTGCCTGGAGGCATCATTCCAGGGTAGCCATGCAATCGTCCAGTTCAAGGAGGTTTGGTTAGCAGAGTCACACCTGGGACTGTGCCACGGCTCTGGACCTGTAGAGGGCTAACAAACTAGAACACCAAGGTCTGGAAAGTGTTGCACTGCAGGGTCCAGTGCCTGGAGGCCTCATTCCAGGCTAGCCATGCAATTGTCCAGTTCAAGGAGGTTTGGTTACAGCCGCCAATGCTGGTACCAAGGCCAAGCCAATCCAGATAGCTGAATACAGACACAAGCTCAAGCAGCAATGACAGCAAGAATTCTTGGTTGAAAAAAAAAAAATTATGGCTAACAAAAATGGTTAGACATCCCTTAGCAGAACTGAAGATTAGACATCCATCCTCTTGGGACACTAGCAAAAACAATAGAGTGCACTGTGAATAGGAGGGACTATACCAGGAATACCCACAATGGTTTGAAAATTTTGTGTCTAGTCCTCCTGTAGGCAGCAGAATAACCCCAACAGTCGAAGATTTCCCAAGTGCCTGAATTGACTAGAAAATTAAAGTGATATTTATCAAAATCCTTTTGAGTTCACAGCTGGATCTTTAGATCTTGACCAATGGTGTTATAGGACTTTGGAAAAAAAACAAAAGAGGCCCAAGGGTCAGCCCCTCCTGGAGGCCAAAACCCCTGCATCTGCAACACACAGCTCAGTTAGTAGCCACACAAAAGGGCGGTTGGGTGCTGTGCCCTTCAATGAATGTAGAAAAAGGGATTAGCGGCCCAAAATAACGTAAGCTTGAATCTACGTCTAGCAGATCCAACAGAAAATCGGTGGACGGTGAGGCAGCCCCTTCCTAGGCCTATCGTTGACTAGAACGACCCTTTCTAGTCAACGATAGTCCTAGGAAGGGGCTGCCTCACCGTCCACCGATTTTCTGTTGGATCTGCTAGACGTACATTCAAGCTTGCGCCATTTTTGGGCCACTAATGGTAGCATTCAGGTAGACCATAATCAGATCTAGATAATAGAGGGCCACTTCCTGAGGATGGGAAGGATTGAGGCAAAAAGGAAGACAAGACGATGTCTTCATTTAAAAAAAAGGCCAACACCAACTTTGGTAAAAAAAAAAAAAAAAAAAAGGCGAGGGCAAAGAACGACTTATCTAATGCAGCACCAAAACTCATAGGACAGCATGCACTAGTTCAGACAACCTGCGAGCTGAAGCGATAGCCTCCAGGAAGGACACCTGAGAAGGGGTCAGGAGCGGGATTTCCCAATGTTCTCAAATGGAGGCTTTTGAAGAGTCAACAGAACCAAAGCTCTGGTCCCATGGAGTCAACATCGATGGAACAACCCGGGTAACAACCTGTATGAAAGTACAAACCAGGCGGTAAGCAGTCAATGGGCGTTGAAAGAACAGCCAAAAGGTGTACACAGGGCCAGCTGCTAGTCCACTCTCCAGTGGAGGAAGACCAACATCCGAATATTTTCATAAGGTGCAACCCCAAGGATTCACACAAAGCAATATAGGCCTTCCAGGTCCAATAATAAACTGGGAAGTGGACTTACATGATTGTCCTTTAAGACCAAGCCCTCAACAAGCTGTAAAGCAGGGTGGGTGCCCTGATCTGGACACAAGAAGGCATCAAGGGACATCTGCAACCAGACGTGTAAGGCCCGGAGATGCCACCCCAAGACTACTAGGATTACCAGGATGTTCTCCAGCTCTATTATGTGCAATACATGGCAACAGTTCAGAGGGGAAAGGCAAACAACAAAAAAATAAAGAGTGCATGTCCCACAGTGCCACCAGCACATCTGTCCATGGGTCCTCTGTTCTAGCCATGAACCTGGGTACCTTCCAATTGAATCTGGGTGCTGGAAAAACCAAGTCCCCGGGTATCCCATCAAAGACAGAGCTGAAAAAAGGCCAGCATAAAATTCCTGACTCGGTGCTAGCCAAAAAACTGAGCTGTGTGTTATAGATGGGGGTTCAGCATTCAGCATGGGCTGCTTTTTGTTTGTACCTAATGTCCTACTCATGCAGACGACACTGAAACCTAATAGGTCAAGATATTAAGCTGATTTCCCCACACGAACATTTGCAGAAGATCAGCAGATTCGGTTTTAATTTTAGTTGCACCTAGCAACCTCCTATAGGTGGCGTCATCAAAAACGCCCAGGATGAATTAAGCTGTGTCCTTCAATGACAGAACTAAAGATCCCCCCCAAACACACGTACCCGCAGGTGGTCATTAGCTTTCCATTTTGTAATTCAGGTATGGGACTGAGGACAGGACTAGGGTCTGACATCGGGTTACGGAGGGGGGGGGGGGAGGGAATGAACACAGGACTAGGGTCTGACATCGGGTTACGGGGGGGGGGGGAGGGAATGAACACAGGACTAGGGTCTGACATCGGGTTACGGGGGGGAGGGAATGAACACAGGACTAGGGTCTGACATCGGGTTACGGGGGGGAATGAGGAAAGGACTAGGGTCTGACATCGGGTACAGAGAATGAGGACAGGACCAGGGCCTGACATCGGGGATGAGGACAGGACCGGGGCCTGACATCGGGGATGAGGACAGGACCGGGGCCTGACATCGGGGATGAGGATGAGGACAGGACCAGGGGCCTGACATCGGGGATGAGGACAGGACCGGGGCCTGACATCGGGGATGAGGACAGGACCGGGGCCTGACATCGGGGATGAGGACAGGACCGGGGCCTGACATCGGGGATGAGGACAGGACCGGGGGCCTGACATCGGGGATGAGGACAGGACCGGGGCCTGACATCGGGGATGAGGACAGGACCGGGGCCTGACATCGGGGATGAGGACAGAACCGGGGTCTGACATCGGGGATGACCGGGGATCGGGGATGAGGAACAGGACCGGGGTCTGTCGTCGGGTACGGGGGGGGGGGGGGGGGGGGGGGCGAGGACAGGACCGGGGTCTGACATCGGGGATGAGGACACGACCGGGGTCTGACATCGGGGATGAGGACAGGACCGGGGGGTCTGACATCGGGGATGAGGACAGGACCGGGGTCTGACATCGGGGATGAGGACAGGACCGGGGTCTGACATCGGGGATGAGGACAGGACCGGGGTCTGTCGTCGGGTACGGGGGGGGGGGGGCGAGGACAGGACCAGGGTCTGACATCGGGTACAGGGGGGGATGAGGACAGGACTGGGGTCTGACATCGGGGGATGAGGACAGGACTGGGGTCTGTCGTCGGGTACGGGGGGGGATGGGGGGGACAGGACTGGGGTCTGACGTCGGGGGGGATGAGGACAGGACTAGGGTCTGACATCGGGTATGGGGGGGGGGGGGGGGGGGGGGGGGGGGGATGAGGACAGGAGTAGGGTCTGACATCAGGTACAGGGTGAGGATAGAACTGGGGTCTGACGTCGGGTACAGAGGATGAGGACAGGACTACAATCATACATATATGACATCACGTATGGGACAAGGACCAAACAAATCTCATCTGACATCGGGTACAAGATGGAGGCAGGACTATGTTCTTAGAAATGTCACACCAGGAAGCAAGGCTATTACTCCATCACTACAAATGTTTAATTGGAATCCCAGCATAAAAAAAAATACAATGAAAAAGCCCTCCCCCCCTTCCCCATGTCTGAGTGCCGAGCACCCTCTCCATTCAGAAACTTCCACGTCCATCCACAACACGGAATTAAAATGTTCTTCCTCAGAAACGGCCCGATCTCTCGCGTTCCCTTGACCTCCGTCGATCTCTTTCCCGACCTCCTCGGCCACGGTCTCTGGAACGGGATCGTCGCTCTCGTGACCTGGAACGAGATTGATGCCTGTCAGGAAGTACATTCACATCACATTACAAACAGGCAACGGAGAGGACCTGGTTCTACTAAAGCCTCATGGGCTTGGAAACCAGAAATCTCTCCAGAAGGAAACGTAGAGATGTTTGAAGGTCCTCGTTCACCCAGGTCATGGTAGAGCTAGTAGTAGGTGCTCACATTTTACTGTCCTGTAATGTTGACGAACCAGCCGATCCAATAGGTCTTAGAGGGGAACCCTTCTTGTGTGTCCAAGTCTGTGAAGCCATCTCCTGGGATGGCGTTGGTGGTACAAGGTCTGATCAATGGCCTTTACTAGATGTTGTCACCTTTTTACTGCATTAGCTTAGTGAGGTTCTTCTTTAGCGACTCAAAAGTGATGACATCAAGGAGAAGAGAGGTCACCTGAGATTGGTCATTCAGGAGATGGATAAGGAAGGGTCTCAAGGGGGGTTGCCCGGGGTAGAGGGCAATGATCACTTCAGCATAAACAATGCAGAGAGGTCACCTGAGATTGGTCATTAAGGAGATGGATAAGGAAGGGTCTCGGTCTCAGGGGGTAAAGAGCAATGCTTGCTCCAACATGAATTAAGAGAGGTCACTTGAGATTGGTCATTAAGGAAACTGGTAAGAAAGGGTCTCGGGGTGGGTCGCCCGGGGGTAGAGGGCAATGATCACTCCAGCATAAACAATGGAGAGGTCACCTGAGATTGGTCATTCAGGAGACTGATGAAGAAGGGTCTCGGTCTCAGGGGGTAAAGGGCAATACTCGCTCCAACATGAACAATGTAGAGAGGTCACCAGAGATTGGTCATTCAGGAAACGGGTAAGGAAGGGTCTAGGGGGGGGAAGGGGGGGGGGGGGGGGGGGGTAGAGGGCAATGATCACTCCAGTATGAACAATGAAAAGAGGTGGTGCTGGGGGATAACCCAGGGGTAGAGGGAAATACTTGCGCCAACATGAAAAATAGAGGTCACCTGAGATTGGTCGTTTAGGAAACAGGTAAGAAAGGGTCTGGGGTTACTTGGGGGTAGAGGGCAATGATGAATCCAGCATAAACAATGTAGAGAGGTCACCTGAGATTGGTCATTAAGGAGAGATGGATAAGGAAGGGTCTCAGGGGGTAAAGGGCAATACTCGCTCCAACATGAATAATGAAGAGAGGTCACCTGAGATTGGTCATTCAGGAGACGGATGAGGAAGGGTCTCGGTAGCGGGGGTGAAGGGCAACACTCGCTCCAACATGAATGGAGGTCACCAGAGATTGGTCATTCAGGAGACGGATGAGGAAGGGTCTCGGGGTAAAGGGCAACACTCGCTCCAACATGAATGAAGAGAGGTCACCAGAGATTGGTCATTCAGGAGACGGATAAGGAAGGGTCACGGTAGCGGGGTGAAGGGCAACACTCGCTCTAAACATGAACAATGTAGAGGTCACCTGAGATTGGTCGTTCAGGAAACTGGTAAGAGAGGGTCTGGGGGGGCTGCTTGGGGGTAGAGGGTAATGATGAATCCAGTATAAACAATGGAGAGGTCACCAGAGATTGGTCATTCAGGAGACTGATGAGAAAGGGCATTGGGGGGTGGGGGGGGGGGGTTGCCGGGGGTAGAGGGCGATGATCACTCCAGCACAAATGATGAAGAGGTCATAATAGGTAAACCACCTGCACTACACAAAATACACAAATGATGTACTAAACAGAGATTATGTAGGGAGCGGCCGTCACCTGACCAATGAATGAAGAGAATGGCGCTGCGCTCCCTAAATGGTATCTAAATGCACTAAATACGACCCATAAATATATACATGACCCAATAATCTGCATATAGACATAACATGTGATACTTGGATCAGTAAACATACGTGTGTGGACAACATCACATGATGACATGAAGTGGTGAAAACTAAACATGCGTGCCCAAAAACAGGGAAAAACCGTGACTTGGGTCAGGAGTGACGTGACAGATGATTGGCGCCTCAATAGAAAGTGTAACAATAACGCCCAATGAATGTGAATGTACAAAGTGATGTCAGGAGGAGTCCTGAGAGCAAAATCCTATGAAACCCACGTGACCTCCTAACACATCCATGTGATGAACGGGCAGCACGGCGGCTGAGTGGTCAGCACTCCAGCCTGGCAGTACTCGGGTTGTTGGTTCGAATCCAAACCACGGCACCACCTGCCTGGAGTTTGCATGTTCTCCCTGTGCCTGCGTGGGTTTCCTCCAGTTTCCTCCCACATTCCAAAGACATGCTGGTAGGCGAATTGGCTCCGGTCTAAATTGTCTCTAGTATGTATATGTATGACTGTGAGTTAAGGGCCTTAGATTGTACGCTCCTCGGGGGGGCGGGGCCTGATGTGAATGTACAATATATATGTAAAGCGCGGAGTACATTGACGGCGCTATAGAAGTACCTGAAATAAATAAATGGCAACCAATCGTCTAGGTGGTGATACGCTCCCTGACTGGGACCAATAGGTGTGACCACAGAATACAGAGTTATCACCGACAGAGAAGAGCGCGTCTGGCTGACACTGGGGCCACTAAATCATCCCTATATAATGGTGGGAAACGTCCCCCTGTGTCCTCTACAAACCAGGGACCCCCCATATATTGGTGAAGACGGTCCCCCTGTGTCCTCTACACACCAGGGACCCCCATATAATGGTGGAAACGTCCCCCTGTGTCCTCTACAAACCAGGGACCCCCCATATATTGGTGAAGACGGTCCCCCTGTGTCCTCTACACACCAGGGACCACATATATTGGTGAAGACGGTCCCCCTGTGCCCTCTACAAACCAGGGACCCCCCATATATTGGTGAAGACGGTCCCCCTGTGTCCTCTACACACCAGGGACCACATATATTGGTGAAGACGGTCCCCCTGTGCCCTCTACAAACCAGGGACCCCCATATATTGGTGAAGACGGTCCCCCTGTGCCCTCTACAGACCAGGGACCCCCCATATATTGGTGAAGACGGTCCCCCTGTGCCCTCTACAGACCAGGGACCCCCCATATATTGGTGAAGACGGTCCCCCTGTGCCCTCTACAAACCAGGGACCCCCCATATATTGGTGAAGACGGTCCCCCTGTGCCCTCTACAAACCAGGGACCCCCCATATATTGGTGAAGACGGTCCCCCTGTGCCCTCTACACACCGGGGACCCCCATATATTGGTGAAGACGGTCCCCCTGTGTGCCCCTCTACACACCAGGGACCCCCATATATATTGGTGAAGACGGTCCCCCTGTGCCCTCTAAACCAGGGACCACATATATTGGTGAAGACGGTCCCCCTGTGCCCTCTACAAACCAGGGACCCCCATATATTGGTGAAGACGGTCCCCCTGTGCCCTCTACAGACCAGGGACCCCCATATATTGGTGAAGACGGTCCCCCTGTGTGCCCTCTACACACCAGGGACCCCCATATATTGGTGAAGACGGTCCCCCTGTGCCCTCTACAACCAGGGACCCCCATATATTGGTGAAGACGGTCCCCCTGTGCCCTCTACACACCAGGGACCCCCATATATTGGTGAAGACGGTCCCCCTGTGCCCTCTACACACCAGGGACCCCCATATATTGGTGAAGACGGTCCCCCTGTGCCCTCTACACACCAGGGACCCCCATATATTGGTGAAGACGGTCCCCCTGTGCCCTCTACAAACCAGGGACCCCCATATATTGGTGAAGACGGTCCCCCCTGTGCCCTCTACAAACCAGGGACCCCCATATATTGGTGAAGACGGTCCCCCTGTGCCCTCTACACACCAGGGACCCCCATATATTGGTGAAGACGGTCCCCCTGTGCCCTCTACCACCAGGGACCCCCTGGTGAAGACGGTCCCCCTGTGCCCTCTACACACCAGGGACCCCCATATATTGGTGAAGACGGTCCCCCTGTGCCCTCTACAAACCAGGGGACCCCATATATTGGTGAAGACGGTCCCCCTGTGCCCTCTACAAACCAGGGACCCCCATATATTGGTGAAGACGGTCCCCCTGTGCCCTCTACAAACCAGGGACCCCCCATATATTGGTGAAGACGGTCCCCCTGTGCCCTCTACAACCAGGGACCCCCATATATTGGTGAAGACGGTCCCCCTGTGCCCTCTACACACCAGGGACCCCCATATATTGGTGAAGACGGTCCCCCTGTGCCCTCTACAAACCAGGGTCCCCCCCCATATATTGGTGAAGACGGTCCCCCTGTGCCCTCTACAAACCAGGGACCCCCCATATATTGGTGAAGACGGTCCCCCTGTGCCCTCTACACACCAGGGACCCCCATATATTGGTGAAGACGGTCCCCCTGTGCCCTCTACACACCAGGGACCCCCATATATTGGTGAAGACGGTCCCCCTGTGCCCTCTACAAACCAGGGACCCCCATATATTGGTGAAGACGGTCCCCCTGTGCCCTCTACAACCAGGGACCCCCCATATATTGGTGAAGACGGTCCCCCTGTGCCCTCTACACACCAGGGACCCCCATATATTGGTGAAGACGGTCCCCCCTGTGCCCTCTACACACCAGGGACCCCCATATATTGGTGAAGACGGTCCCCCTGTGCCCTCTACAAACCAGGGACCCCCCATATATTGGTGAAGACGGTCCCCCTGTGTCCTCTACAAACCAGGGACCCCCATATATTGGTGAAGACGGTCCCCCTGTGCCTCTACAAACCAGGGACCCCCCATATATTGGTGAAGACGGTCCCCTGTGCCCTCTACAAACCAGGGACCCCCCCATATATTGGTGAAGACGGTCCCCCTGTGCCCTCTACAAACCAGGGACCCCATATATATTGGTGAAGACGGTCCCCCTGTGCCCTCTACAACACCAGGGACCCCCATATATTGGTGAAGACGGTCCCCCTGTGCCCTCTACAAACCAGGGACCCCCATATATTGGTGAAGACGGCCCCCCTGTGCCCTCTACACACCAGGGACCCCCATATATTGGTGAAGACGGTCCCCTGTGC